TCCATCCAAGCTTCGGGTAGTGGGAGTGATCCGTCTAACCAGATGGTAGCTCTCACACTCGCTGACACCGAAGATCAGATGTCCTCCGCGGCATCGGAGGGTGGGCTTTCACTGTCTGATGAAGATCCGGACCCACTCGCCCCCTCCGGGCAGGTGAGCGCTGTCAAATCGGATCCTGAAGCGGACATGTTAGCCGTGCTTTCCCGGGCTGCTTCGGCCGTGGGGTTGGAGATGGTTTATCCCCCAGCTCCGCGGCCGGACCGACTAGATGGGTGCTACCTAGAGGACCAGAAGGCGAAGCCTTCGAAACCTCTCGTCCCCTTCTTCCCGGAAGTGCACAGTAGGCTCACGCAGTCTTGGAGGGCACCTTTCTCTGCCCGTGCTGCGTGTACCTCCGCCCTCACCGCCCTTGACGGCGGAGCTGCCAGGGGGTATGAGGTGATCCCGTCAGTGGAGCGCGCTATCGCGGTCAATCTTTTTCCGCGCGGCACCTCTACGTGGCGGGGCAGTCAACTGCGATGGGCAATGTCATCTATCGGCGTGGCCTTAAGCCCGCTCCGCCCGCCGAGCCATCCACCGCCGAGGGCGCCCGCCAACGAGTGCTGCCCTGCCCCCGCCTGCGCCTCTGGCCAAGCGGGCGCGGCCTACACCTCGAAAGCAGGCAGCCCCTCCTGCCCAGGGCGCCGTTAAGTCCGGTAAACGGACCGTGAAGCATCCCTGAGACAGGCCATCCGGAGAAGAGGAAACTTGCTCTTTCCCCGCTGGAGGGCGGGGCCCCGATAACAACGGTACTTTTCAGTGCCACCAAAACATGAGTAAAAGAGCACTTTTTCCCTTCCCCGGATGTGACTGCACGAGTTCTGCCAGTCCGGGACGCGCTGCCTTCCGGCTCACAAACTCTACGTGCTTCGCCAGTGGCTCACGAGCGCTGGGGGGACGGTCCCTTCCCTCAGCCCTCCAGCCCCCTCTCCGGAGTCAGGGTGCGAAGCCAGAGCGAATCGCTCTCCTCCAGCTCTTCCGCGGGACCCTCGTGCTTCCCGGATCAGCACACCCACTCCGCGCTGCCCCACCGCTGGTACGTCAGCGATTGTAGCGATGACTCCATTAGCGAGGGCTCTGTCTGTCTGGTTAACGCGGGCCAGCCCCTCGCGGTGGCTCATACGCACAATCAGACTCGGTTACGCGATTCAGTTCGCGAAACGGCCCCCCAAGTTTACGGGCGTGTATTTCTCCAGGGTCAACCCCCTGTCCGCCCTTGTCTTGCGAGAGGAGATTGCTGCCCTCCTGGCGAAGGGTGCAATCGAGCCGGTTCCTCCAGCCGAGATGGAGAGCGGGTTTTACAGCCTATACTTCATCGTACCCAAAAAGAGCGGTGGGTCACAGCCAATCCTAGATCTGCGCGTTTTGAACCGCTGTCTGCACAGGCTGCCGTTCAGAATGCTCACGCAGATGCGCATTCTCCAATGCGTTCGTCCTCAGGATTGGTTTGGAGCTATAGACCTGAAGGACGCGTATTTCCATGTCTCCATTCTTCCACGCCACCGCCAATTTCTGCGGTTTGCGTTCGAGGGTCGAGCGTGGCAGTACAAGGTCCTCCCCTTCGGGCTCTCTCTGTCTCCGCGGGTCTTCACCAAACTCGCGGAGGGTGCCCTAGCGCCCCTTCGGCTCGCGGGCATTCGCATACTCAATTATTTCGACGACTGGCTGATTTTAGCCCACTCGCGGGAGCAATTGATTATGCACAGGGACAAGGTGCTTCGGCATCTCCACCTACTAGGGCTTCAGGTCAACCGAGAAAAGAGCAAACTCGCCCCCGTGCAGAGGATTTCTTTCTCGGGATGGAGCTGGACTCGATCACCATGGTAGCGCACCTCTCCGAGGAACGCGCTCGCCTGTTGCTGAACTGTCTGAGGGAGCTCGACAGCAAACTAGTGGTCCCACTGAAGTTCTTTCAGAGGTTCCTGGGGCATATGGCATCCGCAGCCGCCGTCACGCCGCTCGGGTTGCTCCATATGAGACCACTTCAGCACTGGCTTCACGATCGGGTCCCCAGACGCGCATGGCACGTGGGCACACACCGGTTCTCGGTTACTGCGCTGTGTCGCCGCGCCCTCAGCCCTTGGAACGACCCCTCGTTCCTACAGGCCGGTGTGCCTCTAGGACAGGCTTCCAGCCATGTTGTTGTTTCAACAGATGCTTCCAACACGGGTTGGGGGGCCGTGTGTCGCGGGCATGCGGCTGCGGGCCTGTGGAAGGGTGCCCAGTTGCATTGGCATATCAATCGCCTAGATCTGATGGCAGTGTTCCTCGCTCTCCACCGCTTTTTACCGGTGCTGGAGCGGCAACACGTGCTGGTCAGGACGGACAGTATGGCGGCGGCGGCATATATCAACCGCATGGGGGGTATGCGCTCTCGTCGCATGTCTCAGCTCGCCCGCCGTCTGCTCCTCTGGAGTCACCCGCGGCTGAAATCGCTGCGCGCCATTCACGTTCCAGGCACGCTCAATCGTGCAGCCGATGCGCTCTCACGACAGCTGTTACGCCCTGGAGAATGGAGACTCCACCTCGAGTCTGTTCAGCTGATATGGGCGCGATTCGGGGAGGCCCAGATCGATCTGTTTACTTCCCCCGAGAACGCTCACTGCCAGTTGTTTTATTCCCTGACTCAGGGCTCTCTCGGCACGGATGCACTGGCCCACAGCTGGCCTCGGGGCATGCGCAAGTATGCGTTTCCCCCAGTGAGCTTGCTCGCGCAGTTTCTGTGCAAGGTCAGGGAGGACGAGGAACAGGTTCTGCTAGTTGCGCCCCTTTGGCCCAACCGGACCTGGATATCAAAGCTCTCACTCCTCGCGACGGCCCTCCCCTGGCGGATCCCTTTGAGAGAGGACCTACTCTCTCAGGGACAGGGCACCATCTGGCACCCTCGCCCCGATCTTTGGAACCTCCACGTGTGGTCCCTAGACGCGAGGAAGACTTATGTAACCTACCGACTGCGGTGGTTAATACCATCACTCAGGCTAGAGCCCCCTCCACAAGGCGCGCCTACGCCCTGAAGTGGAGTCTATTCACTGAATGGTGCGTCTCTCGCAGAGAAGACCCCCGAAATTGCCAGATTAGTGTTGTGCTCTCTTTCCTTCAAGAGAAGTTGGACAGCAGGCTGTCGCCCTCCACTCTCAAGGTTTACGTGGCCGCCATCTCCGCTATCATAGCGCGGTAGCTGGCGGCACCGTGGGAAAGCATAACCTTGTCATCCAGTTCCTTAGGGGTGCTAGGCGAATTAATCCATCTCGCCCCCCTCTCATGCCCTCTTGGGATCTCGCCCTCGTTCTCACGAGTTTGCGATCCGATCCCTTTGAGCCACTCGAATCAGTATCTCTAAGATTTCTGTCCCTGAAGACAGCTCTGCTGGTTGCGTTGGCCTCCATCAAGAGGGTCAGGGACCTGGAGGCATTTTCGGTCAGTGACTCGTGCCTGGAATTCAGGCCGGATTACTCTCACGTCACCCTGAGACCCCGCCCCGGTTATGTGCCCAAGGTTCCTACCACCCCCTTTAGAGATCAGGTAGTGAACCTGCAAGCGCTGCCCCCGGAGGAGGCAGACCCAGCCCTTTCTTTACTTTGTCCAGTTCGCGCTCTGCGCATTTATGTGGACCGTACTCAGAATTTTAGATCATCTGAGCAGCTCTTTGTCTGTTATGGCGGTCGGCAGCAGGGAAGTGCCGTATCGAAACAAAGATTATCCCACTGGATTGTGGATGCCATTTCACTCGCTTATTCGAGTCGAGGTCAGCCGTGTCGGAGCGTTGCATCCTCTTGGGCGCGTGCACGTGGCGCCTCTCTAACAGACATCTGTAGAGCTGCGGGCTGGGCGACACCCAACACATTTGCAAGGTTTTACAATCTGCGAGTGGAGCCGGTTTCCTCAAGGGTATTAGGTATCCCTTTGGTGATTGAGGAAACAACTCGGTAGGGTGTTGAAACACGCTTGCTGCGCCATTCTCCCTAACACGGAGGTGCGTGCGCCTTTTTTATCTGTCAGTAAAGTTCCCCGTCAGGTGAGCCCTGCAGATTCCTCCGTGGCCCCCAGCACTGACTCAGCGGAGGAGTCACTTGCTGGCCCACTACGTTGTAGGTCTGCCCGCTGGTCAGCCTGCGTTTTGGGTATAGGTGCCAGCTATGCGTGATCCCCACTAGGCAATCCCATATGCTTATTCCGCCACGGTTAAGTTCCCCCCCTGGGCGGACCAGTCTCTTCCCTCTCTGCTAACCACTCTTTGCTATGCTTACTCCCCCTTTTTAGGGCTAGTCCATATGTAAATTCTGCCATCTATCCCCCCCTTGAGTAACGGATGGCCTCCGCAGCGTCCTCCCTATCGGGATTGCACGCTTCCCAACGTACTGTCGTATTTCCTAGAATTATCTAGATGCTCACGACTTCCTAAAAAATATATCTAAATCCGTAAAACTTCTGTTGAAGTAGGATAAATTAGGGCCAGGGACACGTTGGAGGACCGCGCCTCCCATGATGTGAGTGCGTCACGCTTGCTTGACTATCTCCTCATCGGGGGCGTTGGTAAGGTGCAGTCATTATGGCGCTTTCCATACTTCTCCCATTCGTGGATTTCATCCACTTTATGGCACTGAAGTTCCCCAACCGAAGGGGAACGTTCGAGGTTACAGAAGTAACCCTTCGTTCCCCGAGGAGGGGAACGGAAGTGCCATACTCCGTCGCCATAATGACTGTCCCTTAGCTGTTTGAAAGTCTCTTCAGCTTAAAAGGATGGCGTTTGCTAGCTTCAGGTGTGCTTATATGCTGAGATAATTGCAGATGCCGCACACCTGCGCAAGCTTACGCTGCCAATTAATTTCATTCATTGGCCCGTTCAATACTCTCCAGACAAGCGGCTTCTGATCCGAATCCTCCCATTCGTGGATTTCATCCACTTTATGGCACTTCCGTTCCCCTCCTCGGGGAACGAAGGGTTACTTCTGTAACCTCGAACGACTCCTATAATAGTTTCTTCTTTGCTGTTTATTAGTCCTTTTTCTTTCAGATCTCTTGATGCCTCTGTTGACATTGTCGGATTTTAAGATCTATTTCGTCAAGTGACAGTTCGATTTGATAAACATTTCCACTTGGATCTTGGATATTATTCCCTTTGCTTCCTTCCGGGATTGAAAAAATCTGAATATTATTTCTACGGGAGCGTGCTTCTAGATATAACAGTTTCTCTTAATAGTTTTCTTCATGTCTTAATTTGTATGGTTTGACCAAGAATTTCTTTTATCTAAGCAACGTTCTCCAATTCTCCAACTCGCTTCCTCACTTCGTTGACCTTTTCTGCTGTTGCGTTTAGGTCCGTGATCAGGCCATCCGGTTTTTAATTGACTTCTTATTTAAAGTTACTTAGTTCTATTTTCACATCTTTTGCGAGAGAATCTTGGAAGGCGGTTAAATCAAATTTAATATCCATCTGGAATACTTTGATGTCTGTATGTATTGCTGGAATGCTAGCTTACAGGCTATCAGCTATCCCGTCTGTCTCTGATTTTTCATCTGTTGATTTCTAGTTTTTTTTTTAGGTTTCAATGGTTGTTTTGTCCAAGCCTTTTTGTTTTTGTCCCCCTCCATGTTATTTAAACATGGTTTAGGTTATCATATATGATGTAAAAAAAGGATTAATACCAGTGTGTATGGGAGCGCTCTTTCTATTCTGCTACACCTGTTGATGCCATACCGGAAACCATCCCATGTCTTAAGCTTCCCCAAATTTGTGAAACTCTGTACACACTGATCATGTCTATGGTTTACCTCCAGTGTGAATCCTCTCATGTGTTTTCAGGGTTTGTGAGTGAGTAAACCTCTTACTGCACTGTGAACACTTGTAGGTTTTTTTTACCCAGTGTGAATTCTCTGGTGCCGTTTCAAATCTTCAGCTGTAATAAAAGTCTTCTTACACTTCAAGCACATATACGCTCTCACACCAGTGTGGATCTTCATGTGTTTATTAAGGGATGATGGTCGGCTGAAACTCTTTCCACACTGAGTTTAAGTAAATGGTTTCTCTCCAGTGTGGATCCTCATGTGGTGATTAAGGTGTGATGATTGGTTGAAACTCTTCCCACACTGAGTGCATGTGAATGGTTTCTCTCCAGTGTGGATCCTCATGTGTTTATTAAGGGATGATGATTGGCTGAAACTCATCTCACACTTAGGGCATGTGAATGGTTTCTCTCCGGTGTGGATCATCATGTGTTCATTAAGGGACGATGATTTCCTGAAACTCTTCCCACACTTAGGGCATGTGAATGGTTTCTCTCCAGTGTGGATCATCATGTGTTGATTAAGGGATGATGATTGGATGAAACTCTTCCCACACTGAGTGCATTTGAATGGTTTCTCTCCAGTGTGGATCATGATGTGTTGATTAAGGTGTGATGATTGGCTGAAACTCTTCCCACACTGAGTGCATTTGAATGGTTTCTCTCCAGTGTGGATCATCATGTGTAGATTAAGATTTGATGATTGGCGAAAACTTTTCCCACACTGAGTGCATGTGAATGGTTTTTCTCCAGTGTGGATCCTCATGTGTCTGTAAAGCGATGATAAGATGCTGAAACTCTTTCTACACTGAGAGCATGTGAATGGTTTCTCTCCAGTGTGGATCATCATGTGTCGAATAAGGTGTGATAATCGGCTGAAACTCTTCCCACACTGATTGCATGTGAATGGTTTCTCTCCAGTGTGGATCATCATGTGTCGATTAAGGTGTGATAATCGGCTGAAACTCTTCCCACACTGAGTGCATGTGAATGGTTTCTCTCCAGTGTGGATCCTCATGTGTTTATAAAGGGATGATGATTGGTGAAAACTCTTCCCACACTGAGTGCACGTTATTGGTTTCTCTCCAGTGTGGATCCTCATGTGTAGATTAAAGTTTGATGATTGGCTGAAACTCTTCCCACACTGAGTGCATGTGAATGGTTTCTCTCCAGTGTGGATCCTCATGTGTCTATAAAGGGATGATGATTGGCGAAAACTCTTCCCACACTGAGTGCACGTTATTGGTTTCTCTCCAGTGTGGATCCTTATGTGTTGATTAAGATGTGATGAGCGGTTGAAACTCTTCCCACACTGAGTGCAAGTAAATGGTTTCTCTCCAGTGTGGGTCCTCATGTGTTTATTAAGTGATGATGCTTGGCGGAAACTCTTCCCACACTGAGTGCACGTAAATGGTTTCTCTCCAGTGTGGATCCTCATGTGTAGATTAAAGTTTGATGATTGGCTGAAACTCTTCCCACACTGAGTGCAAGTAAATGGTTTCTCTCCAGTGTGGGTCCTCATGTGTTTAGAAAGGGATGATGATTGGCGAAAACTCTTCCCACATAGAGTGCACGTTATTGGTTTCTCTCCAGTGTGGATCCTTATGTGTTGATCAAGGTTTGATGAGCGGTTAAAACTCTTCCCACACTGAGTGCAAGTAAATGGTTTCTCTCCAGTGTGGATCCTCATGTGGTGATTAAGGTGTGATGAGCGGTTGAAACTCCTCCCACACTGAGTGCAAATGAATGGTTTCTCTCCAGTGTGGATCCTCATGTGTTGTTTAAGGTATGATGAGCAGTTAAAACTTATTCCACACTGAGTGCATGTGAATGGTTTCTCTCCAGTGTGGATCCTCATGTGTTTATTAAGTGATGATGCTTGGCGGAAACTCTTTCCACACTGAGTGCACGTGAATGGTTTCTCTCCAGTGTGGATTATCATGTGAATCTTAAGTTTGCTTTTGCTTGCCAAAATCTTTCCACACTGAGTGCAGGTGAAACAATTCTTGTCTCTCCTTTTCAAAATACCATCAGTCTGTAAATGAGTTTTTTCCTCAATTTTGACATGATGTTCCTCCTCTTTCCTCTCATTCTCTTCAATTAGGTCTGAAATAAATAAATAAAAGATTAGTTTTCATCAAGTCTAAAAATCTCTCATCAAAAGCTGAAAAGTAAAAAGACACTGGAAACATTGGCTACACACACTTATTTTGATGCATGTTAAATGTAAAATAAAATCGGATCATATTTTGTTCAGTCATTAACATGTACACATTTAAGCAGATTCAATTCATCTTTATTTATCTACAGCTTTTACAATGTAAATTGTGTCATAGTCGCCTAACATAGAAGTCATTGTAAATTGAAACGCTTTCAGTCTAGTTTTCAGAGTTTCTTACATAATTGATCATAAAAGTAATTTTGGTCACATTAATACGACACAGATTTGAAAGGTGTAAATGGTGTGACGACCCTGGTATTCCAGTTTGGATGTGGCAGATCCTGTTAAGGTGCCATGGTAGCTCCCCAATTGGTTCAAAGCATATAAATGCGAGAGTGAGCTAGCTTCTGTAGGATAGTGTGGCTACTGGCCGTCCTTGCATCAAGACCATCTCTTTATTTTGGCAACCTTATGGTTTTGTTTGGCATTATTTATATGTGTAGTTAAAGTTAGTTATTTTCTTCATTTTCCCCTAGACATTTGTTTGTTTCTTGATTTGTTGTTTTATTAGTTGTGTATATTAAATAAGTTGCATATATAATTTTTTTGTTGTCTAAGCTCTTTTATGTTGCAACTCGAACAAGGGGGTCCAGTTAGATACATCCAGTTAGATCATTTTGTTCTCTTGATCTGGAATACCTTATGCTTCGGTGCCAACCACACTGGCCACCAAGAGAGGTCACAGCTGTTATAATTACAGATGTTTGCATCCACCCTCAAGCCAACACAGAGCAGGCGCTTAGGGAACTGAATGGGAGCATAAGCGAGCAGGAAACCACACACCCAGAGGCAGCATTTATTGTTACAGGGGACTTTAACAATGTCAATCTCAGGAAAATCACTCCAAAATACTATCACCATATCACCACAAACATGCATGGTGACCGAATTTTGGACCACTGCTATTCTCCGTTCCGGGAAGCCAACAAATCCCTCCCCCGCCCACCGCTAAGCAAATCAGATGACTCTTTTGTTCTGCTCTTGCCTGCTTACAGACAGAAACTGAAACCACCCACCCTCAAGACGTTTCAAAGCTGGACGGACCAATCGAGTTCCATACTTCAAGAATGTTTTGATCATGTGGACTGGGAGATGTTCCGTGCAGCTTCTGATGACGACATTAAAGTTTACTCAAGACACCGTTACATGCTTCATCAGAAAGTGTATAGAAGACATGGTCCCAACAAATACTGTTCGTATCTACCCCAACCCAAAACCATGGATTGATGGCAAAGTTCGAACAGCCCTATCAGTGTGAACCTCTGCCTATAAATCCAGAAATGCTGAGGAACAAAAACAAGCAAACTACAACCTCAGGTAAACTATCAAAGCAGCAAAACATCAATACAGAGGTACAAGGTAGAGGGGAGGAGTATGTGGCAGGGACTTAATTACATCATAAACTTTAAAAGTAACAAACCCGCCACTGTAAACATTTCTGCATCTCTCCTGGACGAGCTCAACTTGTTCTACACCTGCTTTAAAGCCCAGGACAGCACCTACACACTGTGCGCTCCCGCAGCCGATACCAAAACCGCCAGCACACTCTGTTTCTGTAGCAGACGTAACGAGATCTTTCCGGAACATCCGGAAAGCTACGGCCCAGATGGCATCCCTGGACGTGTACTTAAAGCATGCGCACACCAGCTAGCGGGGGTTTTCACGGACATCGTTAACCTCTCGCTCTCTCGGTCTGTGGTTCCCACATGCTTTAAGACAGCTACTATTGTGCCCATACCGAAATAATCTAAAACCACATGCTTAAATGACTGGTGTCCAGTTGCTCTGACACCCATCTTCAGCAAGTGCTTTGAGAAGCTGTTTAAAAAGCACATCTGCTCTGTACTGCCTGCTCACACTGACCCTCTGCAATTTGCTTACAGGAATAATCGCTCCACTGATGTTGCAATTGCTTTCACCTTGCACACTGCTCTGTCTCACCTGGAAAACAAAAACACATATGTGAGAATGCTGTTTGTGGACTACAGCTCAGTATTCAACACTATAGTGCCTGCCAAACTAGGGGTGAAGCTCCAAGCTCTGGGTCTACACAGCTCTATGTGCATCTAGATCCTGGACTTCCTGTCAAGCAGACGCCAGGTGGTCAGAATGAACAACATGACCTGATCCACACTGATGATCCACAGAGCTGTGTTCTCAGTCCACTCCTGTACTCCCTGTACACACGCGACTGTACAGCCAAACACAGCTCCAACGTCATCGTTAAATTTGCTGATGACAGTGGTGGGCCTAATCACAGATAATGATGAGATGGCCTACAGAGAGGAGGTTTACACTCTGACTCAGTGGTGTGAGGAAAACCACCTCTCACTCAACATCAGCAAAACCAAGGAGCTGGGAGAAGAGAGAACACACCCCCATCACCATCAACGGGACACCAGTGGAGAGAGTCAGCGCTTTCAAGTTTCTTGGAGTACACATTGCTGAGGATTTGACATGGACTGCTCACAGCATGTTAAAAATTATTTTTCAATCAAGTTCTCTTACATAGAAAAAGTAAATTAAATGGCTACTAGGGATGCTCATTTCGGTTAATGTTGCTAACAGACAACCGCCGCTCATTAATCGGTTATTAACGGTTAACTGGTCAGATTACTATTAATTTTATATTAAACAAATTGACGTGTCAATTTTGTGTCCGACACATTAAATATTGCATTTTAAAATACTGATTTATTTTTATATGTTAGCATATTAATAACAGAACAGAACAACAGAGCATCTTCACGCACCTCCAGTGTTTAGCACAGAAGAGCAGAATAATCTAAATAAAATAAATAGGACTGCCCTAAATTATTTTCATTTAAATAATTAATTTATATTACAAAACGAAAATACTGACTGATTCTTTTTAACAACCGGCATAGGCTGTTTTTTTCCAATCATGTTTTTTCTTCCGTCAAATAAAAATAGCAGACTTCCTCAAATTGCCCGCTCCACGGAAAATATGCATTTATTTAATGCCCCGCTGTTATTATTATAATCACAAAACCTTTTACATTTTAATAGAAATCATTATTTTAAAGAATATGTCCTGATGGTTTCCTCTCTCTCCCTCGCGGGTCAAGTACGCGTGCTGCGTGATGAAAAGACAACAACGCGCGATTATGTAGACTTTTTGTAAACAGTTTTGTTGTTTAAATATGATATTGCATTAATGTGCATACATGCTTTATAAGCCAAAAACAAGGCGCATCTCACTGCCTTTATGTTGACAAGGAAAAAAGAAGAGAAGAAGCGCGGTCCTCTTATGAAATGACTGAATCAGCTGGGTATCGATTGTGCATAAGTGTTGCTGTCTGTGTTGTTACAATTGTAATATTTAATAATATTGTGATATACAGGATTTGTACATTCATACAGCTCTGGATAACTTAAAACAGCTATTAGACCTTCAGAGCAGCATTATGCGTCCTGAAGTAAAGCGAAACGGCTATAACCTCCAGCAAGATAAAGTGATTATATACAGTCATATACCTTTATCTCTAAATAAAGTATAACTATAGAAACTGTGTTCATCTTAACTGAAAGCTTCGTCCTGTTTCCTGGCCTCATGCATCGCGCTGTCAGTCAGCACGTAACGTTAACTCTCAAAGGTTCAAACAGAAAGCGCACAGCATGGTTACAGACAAGTTTCCTCTGCAGAGTAGTCGGGGCATCTGGTGAACGCCCATCCCTCTCTGCGCAGCCACATTAACAACAATGCTTTGACAGCACTGGCAATGTTTCTGCCGTTGTCTGTTGTCAAGAGGGGTTAAGTTGGTTTTGTTTTTGATATTCCTGACACATTCAGACAGTCCCTTACTAAGAGCTCTGTGCGAGCTCTCCCGGTTAAACGCTAATTGCGAGGGCTTAAACGGAGCAGTGCTCATAATGTCGAGCGGAAAAAAAAGTGTTTCCTCACGTTCTTCTTCAACTAGCTCAACTTTTGCAGGCACGCGTGACGTTATTGGAAAGGTACGGGGTGTGTCGCGATTCTCCCTTATCACACCGCGACACAGGATCGTAGATCTGAGTGTCGCGATTTCGATTTTATATCGTGTATCGTCACAGCCCTAATGTGTAGCATGCACTGCACTTTAACCAATACATACCTAAAACAATACTGCCTACAACTATGGGTACACATATTCATTATACATATTGCTGTCAACAATTATAATGCTGCCAAATTATTTTGTACTATCTGTATTTTG